GCACTGTAGTGGTCGTGTAAAGTCAAGTTGCCCAAGTGGTGTAGATTGTTGAAGTGCAAGTAGTTGGTACTCTTCAAGTGTGAATGCAGTGAAGAGTTGCACGTAGTGCGTGTTGTTGTGGAGTAGTGGTGTCTGCGCTGTCTGGTACTCGGTGGTGTGTAGTTGTTCCATGATGGCTGATGGGTGGTAGTAAGGTGTTGTGGTGTTGGGTGTAGTGTGGTTGAAGTGGTAGTTGGTCTCGTCTTAGTGAGGCGGTGGTAGTGACCCACGGTCACTTGAGTCAGTAGTCTCCTCTGCGCGAGGAGTCAAAACTCGGTTGGGTGTAGCGACGCCCATGTTGGAATCGGCAGCGGGTATGGGTGTAGCGGGCGCAAGACGTAGTGAGACGGGGCAAAAAGTATGAGCCTATGTAGTGGCTATCAGGCAAGCGGCGCACGCAGACATGTAAAACAAACAACTGTGGTGTTGACTCAAGCCGCCTAACATGCCGCCCAAAGTGCAAGTGACATGACATGTAGTTACTATTACTTACATACCAAAAGTGTCATGTTACATGTAGCTGCCACATACAAACATGTTTGAAATCGTTGTTGTTGTTGTTGTTGTTGTTGTTGTTGTTGTTGTTGTTGTTGTTGTGCCGGTCGTTAGTAGTGCTAAGCGTATCCTAATGCTCTGAATGAGCCTGTGTAGTGTTTCCTTGCTGATGTATTTGGTAAGCAAATCTGCGCTGTTGTGAAGTGTGTTGATCTTAAGGGTTCTGATGATGTCGTGTTTGATAAGGTCTTGTGTGTAGGGAAATTTGTGGTTGATGCGCTTTGCTTGTTTGCTTGTACCTGGTCGTGTAGCAATGCTCTTGCCTGCTGTGTAGTCTGTGTGAACGCGTAGGTTTAGTTTGCTGCAAATCTTGGTTTCAAGTAGGAAGTTTCTGAGGTGTAGTCCCTCATTAACTCCCGTGCAAACGGCGTAGAGTTCAGATTCTGCTGAACTGAGTGTTAGTGTAGCCTGTGTTCCGCTGCCAAATGCAACTGTTGTTCCTAGAAAGATGATGTTGAAGCCTGAAGTTGACTTCCTGGTAGTAGGACATCCTGCCCAGTCAGCGTCGACATCAACGTCGAGATCCAGGATGTTTGCAAATGACGGGTTGTACGTGTACCGTCGTGGCGCCCAAGGTGTGCCGGAAACTTTGTTTAGTAGTACGCGCTCGTATTTGAAGTCTGGTTGTAGTCTCCGTACTGTTCGCACCTTTTGTACGCCTGTTTCCGATGCATTTCTGCATCCGTGCATCTGCTTTTGGAAGTTTCTTGTGTTGTGGTGGAAGGTAAAGTAGCGTTTCGCCAAATTCGCAGCTCGCTCGCTCGTAGTTTCTTCCCCAGCGGCGTTCGAAGCTGGTGTAGCCGTCTGAGTGGATGACGTAGCGATTTACCGTCCATGCTGCGTGTCGTACTATCCAGGGTAGTAGACAGTGCTTCGTGGACATTGTCATGCTGTAGTTGCTCCCAACTTGTGCTTTGACAACGCGTACCTGTCCGAGGAGTGTTCGATGTAGTCGCTCAACCCTTCCTTGACTGTTGCTGCTGTAGGAGGGTGCGTGTCGAACAGTCGTTGAGCCGACTTTGGCTGCTGTAGCTTTTAGAAGTGCGTTGAGTGTGTCTTCGTTGTGTTCTTCCGCGCTCAAAGATGAATTCTTGTAGGTTGTTGACCATGTAGTCCATCATTGATGGTTTGTCCGGGACCATTACTGCCACACACAGTTGTGTAGTAACCTCAACTGCCGTTATGACTGGTATGGTCTTTGGATTGTTGTTTCTTGTAGTTGTCTTGGCGTCCCTTGCCTTGCACGCAAATTGGACACCAATTTTTGTATGGTAGGTGTGTCAAGTTGTGTTCTGCTATTTGTTGTGAAGTTGGTTGCTGTGGTTGTCGTAGTCCTCTTGCTCTGTGCGCTTCGTGACGCTCGTGTTGTTGTTCCTCATCGTGGTTCTCCTGGATGTACTGGAAGTCTTTCTTCACTGAACCTTGTTGTTCCTCCCATTGAAATGGTAGCGCCGCGTTGCCCATGACTGTCCAGTCATCTTTGCGTTGTGAAGCTTCTCCAAAGTTGTTGTTGGTGATTGTAGTTCTGTTCGAGTGTGTTGATTGGTGGATGTCCTGGTCCATCTGTTGGAGTGAACAGTGTCGTTCTAAGTGAGATGTGGTGTCTTATCCAGTGTTCACCTTGTGTTTCCTAGCAGTCTGGGCTGTTAGTGGTCTGTGTATGGTCGCCTTTGGTTTTGTGGTGTCAAGGTCTGTAGAAGGGTGCTGCTTTGGGTCTCCATATCTTTTGTGGAGCTCGTAGTTGAATCTTTGGTTTTGTTGGTGGTGTCTCCATTAGTTGTTGCGGTTGTGAGCTCTGTCTTGTTGGTGTGTGTGGTCTTTGATGTTGCTCTGCGTGTAGGTGTTATCTATCTTTCTTCTGAGTCTGATTTCTCCAGTCCAGTTGTCACCTTCTAGTCTTCTTTGTAGCTCTTGCTTGGAGGGTTCTCTTGTAGTTGTTCTTGCTCTTGCCCTTGTCTGTTGATGATGGTTAGTCGCCAATCATCTAGTTCTTCTTCTGGTATTGGGCAGCCGTGTGAAAAGTGCTTTGCGTGGTCGTTTGTGAACTCTGATGGCGTAGTGACCATCAAGTTTCCAGTAGTCAGTGTTTCCACCAAGGGTCTGTCGCAGTCCTTGGCCTGTGTGTGTGTGAGTGCTGCATTTTGTTCTTGTTGTTGTTTTGCTTTCTCTGTAGGTTGAATCACAGCAATGGATGTTCCATTGTCTGTAGTTATTGGGTAAATGTCGAATCCTGTAGGGATGTCGATCTTTTCTGCTCGTAGGTAGAAGAGTCCTGAGTGTCTGATGAGATGTGCTTGCTGTGATCCATGTGTGATGGCGCAGTGTCGTTGATTGAGGCCGAGTCCATATCCTCTTTCAAGTCGTCTTGATGCACTGAGGATAGGATACTTCACATCACAAACGTAGTAGGGTATCATGATCCTGAAGTTGTCCTGCTTGTAGGGAACATACTTGATGCCGTAGACAGGAATCTTCTTGTTGGTAACCGTGTAGAGTTGTGGAACTGATTCTCCACAAGGTCGCAGTGGTAGGTCTGGCGCGTAGTCCTTCGGGCAAACATGTGTAGATGCTCCGGAGTCGATCAGCAGGTGATGGTATGACTTGAAGTTGGAGCACATGATGTAGTGTGTGATGGTGTCCTCAATCTTCTTGTTTCTTTGCTGTTGTGTTGCTGCTGCTATGTCGAAGTGCAGTTGTGTTGTGTCCTCTTGGGCAATTGTTGAAAGCCGTGGTCGTTCCATGATGTTGCGTCTTTCCAAGTAGTGATTTGAGTTTGTGCTTGTGTAGTAGTGGCTTTGCTTGTCTGATGTGTCCAATGGTGAGGTGTGTCCAATGTAGTTTGCTGTGTCTTCGTAGTTGTTGTCATTCAAATCCCAGCTGTTGTCATAGTCGTAGTCGTTCCAATTCTCCTCCATGTAGTTTACCTCGTGTTGTCCTCCTTCTCCTTCGTAGTACCAGTCCCAAGTGTCGTTCACATCCTGAGGTAGTTCTTCATTGTTGTCCTGATCTGCTTGTTCTTGTTCTAGTGGATGTAGTTCTTCTCCTTTCCTATGTGCCATACAGGCACTCTGCAGTCCTGGGCCCAAGGCTTGCCACATTGGTGGCATGTCATGCAGTTGTTGCTTCCTTTTCCTTATGCTTTGCTGTAGTTTCGTTGGCCTTTGAGCCCTTGTTTGATCCATAGCCTTTGGATCCTGAGTAGCCTTTCCTTTGCTCTTGTTGTATCCTCCTTTGTTGTAGCTTCCTGTGTTGCCTTTGTCAAATCCCTTGTAGTGTCCTTTGCTCCTGCACTTGCCTTTGCCTTTGCTTCCTTTGTAGTGGCCTTTGCCTTTTCCTTTGCCTTTGTAGTTTCTTCGTTTCCTCCAAATGTTGTCAACGTCCATTGGTGCAGCTCCTCCATTGTAGTTTGTGCCGACTGCTGAAGTCGATCTTGAGAAAGCTGAAATCGTCTTGTAGTAGTCCAGGATGACTGCTCTGATCTCGATGTAGTTCGTGATCTGTCCAGCTCGTAGTTGCAGATGTTGTTGCAGTGCTCCTTTGGTCTTGTTGAGTAGTATTGCGATGTCTATTCCATCTGGTAGTGCTGTGCCGTTGTCTTTCTCGTAGCGGTTGATATCGTATTCCCATTGTAGGAATTGCTCTTCAAACTGTGCTTCATTGAATGTAGCTTCCAGTAGCTTGGTAAGGTAGCGACTTGTGCTAGTTGTAGCACCAAGCCAAAGTCTCTGTCTATGAGAGGTAGGCCTTTACCTTAACCAGCCATTCTTCATACTGGGAGTATAGTAGAAGGGTGGTGGCGACTTGTATCGATGTAGTCTCTGAACGTCGTTGTCTTGTTCTGCTCCGAAGCTGATGCTGCTTCTCCTGACATGTCGTAGTAGTCTGGGGCTATTGCAGTTGTTGTAGTGCTTAGACCCAGTGTCCCGTCTATTTGTCGAGCTCTCTATCTAGCCTACCTACTATTTATCTATCCACCCATCGATATGTGTAACGATTCTAAGCTATCTCATCTGCTTAGCCCCTGTGATTTATTTATTGTATGTAACCTGTCTTTCTCTTTCTGTCAAGCTGTCCCTTTTATCTATCGATTTGTCTTCCATCTTTCTATTTCTCCCTTTTATCTATCGATTTGTCTTCCATCTTTCTATTTCATCTATCTCAGCACAGTTCTATCTATCTACCTATCGGTCTATCTATCTATCCAGCCATCAATCTTGCAAAAGTGCTGCGGCCTGCCACGAAATCTGTACCTGACCTTGCGAACATGCTTCGTCTGTCAGGAAATCTGTACCTAACCTTGCGGAAGTGCTGCGCGTGCCACCGAGGATTGCTCGCTCTTGGCTTTTTTTGTGCGGAGCGCAGAGAGCGCCCGTGGCCCGTCAGTTTTGGCATTCGGGTTTTCCAAGGAACTTTCCTCTGGCATGCGTCTCCATCAACATCACTAAGATGGTTGTGGAAGCTCTGCTGTCGGGCCGGCTGTCTAAGCTCTGCAATGCCAGCAGCAAGGGCGTCATTGAGCCTTGGCCTGCGCGGCGTGCGTTCAGTTCCCTCTCCTCCACTCAAGCCGGCGTTGCGGCAGTGCCAACGTGCCAAAGCATGCCAGTCGCAAATATGCAATCATGCTTGCTTGAGGACACTACTTGCCAAGTCTATAGCGCAGCCATGTACTACTTTTATTGGCGCTGGCGCACACAGAAGCGCATGATCCGCGACACAGAGGTGACCTTCAACGAGGCCAAACTTTATTCTGATTGTCTGACTAAGTCGTCCTTGAAGTATCAAACGTTTAAGTGACCCGCGCTGCCTTTTTGAGCCCGGTTCTCTGCATACTGAGATGGAAAGGCGTTCTGAAGCAGTCTTTGCATCGGAAAGGGTGAATCGGTCGGGCGCGGCTTGTTTCAGTTGGCGCTTGTCAGGTGAATACCCTTCTGCAGCGCAAGCCTGCCAAATTGATGGAGACGCGCCTTGGATGGCTCTGCAGGGTCACCGGAGCTCGGACTCGCTGTGCTGAAGATTCGATCGGGAATGCAGGGGCACGGTCTTTTTCGTTTTTATGTTTTGCGTCTTTTTGGTTTTGATAGGCTTTTCGCCTTTGGAGCTTTCGGCTGCCCTTACACCCTGCGCCAACCACCCCCCAAACCAACCTCAACCGCTCACAATCACACCCGTAATCAAATTTAGTTGCAGTCGCAACGCCATCCCAAACCCACCGTTGCAAGGCGCTGCGGAGCTGAAGGGACTGGGTTCCATGGCGTGGCACGGGTGCCAAGAAATGCCGAGGTTGGAGCAAGGCATCGAAGAGTCAAAGGCGCGCTCTGACCCTTCTCGCCTGGAGCCTTGACAGCGTCCGATTGGGCTAGCTGCGACTGGCCAAGTGCCGTGGATGCGGGAAGTGCCTGCTTGCTCTTTGGTGGGGCCGCAACCTTTTCATTTCCACACTTGGGATCAACAACAGTTGTTGCTTCTGCAAGTGGCCAGCCGGACCGCCCAGACTCATGTTTATGGTTGGCATTAATGTGAAAGAATCCCGCAGAGCCAAACCCCAACAACTGAGTTAGCAGACTTCCCAACCAGAAGGGAAGACACAAGCAGCTCCTGGATGCACCGACGCACAGCACTTGTACCATGGGATTCAATTCCTCGCTGCCTGGCACCATGATAGGGCCTTGCACCATGTTCAAGCAAGGGGCCTGGGTTACTGGTTCCACCCTGGAAGGAAGGTCGTGTCTTGCAGTGTTCCTTCCATCAAAAGCAGAGAGACGCTCCGGGCCCCCAGTTTGAGGCAAGGCCGCGTATTGAGCCACCCTCAACAACTGCATGCGCCCTCAGTCAAGCCAGGTTACCCAAAGCCCATGTTTCCCGCTTGTGGGCTTCGGAGAGGAACCCCGTAAGAGGGCACGAGCGGAGTTTGAGTCGAACCTTAGGAATTCACGGACCTCGACTTTGGCGGCGCCCGGCCAAAGGCCAAGGCGGCGCCGGCGCCTGTGAGGTTGCAGCTCTACGAAACCACTGCGCCCTGGCGGAGATTACAGGGCCAGCCTAAGCTTGCCTAAACTTGCTTAAACGACCCCGCCAAACTTACCCTGACCCCGCCCTAAGCCGACCCCAAACCAGCTCTAGCCCGTGCGTTGCGATACTTTGTGGGCAAAGCGGTTTTTTGGGCCCCCTTCAGTTCCTTTTATTTCCCTTCATCCCCCTTGATGCATTTTCCTTCGCCTCCATTATTTGCTTGCAACCACTTCACGCATCATCGCGGCTTGCCCTGCGTCAATGCTGGAGATGATAGCACGGCGAGGCCGGATGTCCCTCCAGTCTTTGTCACTTTATTTTCACGCTCCGCGCACCGGCCTCGCGTGCCAGCGAAAGTTCTTGATGGCTGGATGGATGGTGGGTGGATGGATGGATGGCTTGATGGCTGGATGGACGGATGGATGGATGGGATGGGGATGGATGGATGGGATGGGGATGGATGGACGGATTGCTATCGGATGATTGAATGGGACGGGAGCCCACCCACCCACCCACCCACCCAGCCAGCCAGCCAGCCAGCCACCCCACCCACCCACCCACCCACCCACCCACCCACCCACGCACGCACGCACGCACGCACCCACGCACCCACGCACCCACGCACCCACGCACCCACGCACCCACGCACCCACGCACCCACGCACCCACGCACCCACGCACCCACGCACCCACGCACCCACGCACCCACGCACCCACGCACCCACGCACCCACGCACCCACGCACCCACGCACCCACGCACCCACGCACCCACGCACCCACGCACCCACGCACCCACGCACCCACGCACCCACGCACCCACGCACCCACGCACCCACGCACCCACGCACCCACGCACCCACGCACCCACGCACCCACGCACCCACGCACCACGCACCACCACACACCACGCACCACGCACCACACCACCACCACACCACCACCACACACCCACCACACACCCACCACACACCCACCGTGCACGCACACGCACACGCACACGCACACCCGCGCGCACGCGCACGCGCACACCCTGCGCACGCGCACGCGCACACGCGCACACGCGCACACGCGCGCGCGCACACGCGCACACGCGCGCACACTGCGCACACCCGCGCGCACACGCGCGCACGCGCACGCGCACGCCTCCCCGCCCGCCGCCGCCCGCCCGCCCACCCACGCGCGCGCCATCAGGAATGGCTTTTGGAAGAATGACCCCAAACGCAGGAGACGCAGGGGATGCAGGCGATGCGCCTAACACAGTCGGGGCTTCATATTTGCAGTATTTCGAGCCTTCCCCCATCTCGAGCCGCCCCGGCGGTTATGATGCACCACCAGGGCGCTGGGCATGCAGACGATGTGGGGGGTCGGTGGCAGCGACAGTCGGCGCCATAGCACGGCGAGGCCGGATTTTCATTGCCGATTTGTGCCGCCGACCCCCTGGTCACAGTAGAAGTCTGCTTGTCATTGCGGCAGCTGTTGCCATCCTAGACACGCCAGCCACCCGCAGCCACTGCGAAGAGCAAGTCCACAAGCTCCCCGAGCGGACCGGCGTAGGGGCAAGACAGCAATCAGCCCTTCAGGGCTGCCACCCAGTGCCACGCTGAAGTACCTGACCTCAAACTCGGTCGGACTCCAGCGCCAGAACAGAAGTGTGAGAGTCGACTTTCAGCACGCAGTTTTGTTGTTTCATTGCAGACCAAGTTGAGTCGTGTCGGACCAAGTTGAGTCTTGCGCAAGCGTCCCCGTTCATCACGTGCGCGTCGGAGCGTCCGTTCGTTTCGATTGTCGCTTTTCGGCAAGCAGTTAATTCGTCACGCGTACGTCGGAGCATCCGTGCGTTTCGAATGTCGTTTTTTGGCAGGCAGCTTTTGTTTCATGTCGGACCAAAAGAGCAGGTCGGCTGTTTCAGGTCGGACCAGTTGAGTCTTGCGTAAGCGTCCCTAGGGTGGGAAAGCATTCTGAAAACGAGTTTCAGCGCGCGGTTTTGCTGTTTCATTGCAGAGCAAGGTTGATCCACCAAGTGTGCCCAGAGCGTCTGTTCGTTTCGAATTTTGCGCCACCCTTCCTGTACGGCGCGCCCTGGCAGACACGAAATGATGTCAACAACGATGGTGATGATGATGAGTGTGATGAACACCTTGATGAGGAAGGGCTTTGGCATCCCCAGCATTGCAAGCAGCGCGTGTCGTGACAGCGATGATCGCCACGATGATTGCTATGATGGGGATGATGGCCGCGTTTACAAGTAGGGCCTAAGGTGACACCCAACATTTGCACGAGGTTATGATGGCGACAACGATGATGCGGTGATGTGTGAAGCTGATCGTCATGATGATGGTCGCCAGGATGATGTCCGCTATGCTGAGGGTGATGAGCATCCCCAGCGTTGCAAGTAGGAAGTAGGACCTAACGTGGCGCCCAAAACTTATGCAAGAAAAGATGGCAACAACGATGATGGTGTGACGACGAGTGTCATCATGATGATGATCGCCACGAGGATCACTATGATGGCCGCACCCCCAGCATTGCAAGTAGGGCCTATCGTGCCACCCAAAACGTATACAAGAACATGATGGCGACACCAATGATGACGTGATATTGATGAGATGAACATTATGATGATGATCGCCAGCCCAAAGGCCCAAGAATCAACCTAGTTAGATCGTCACGTGTACGTCGGGGCAGCCTTCCGTTTCAAGTCGGACCAAGTTGAGTCTCGCGCAAGCATCCCCACCGTTGCTTGACGTGACCACCCGTCCCTCGCACCTCGCCATTGCGGACAAGGGGTCGGCGGGCAACCCTGATAAGCAGATTCACAGCAACCGCAAACAAAACTGTTAGGCCTTGACTGTGACTCAACTGACCTGTCCAGTCCAAATTTGGAACGGGCTTTGAGGGCGACCAGGAAACCAGCTATTTGGGGGTAGGCCGGGCTGTTGCCCGTTTCCCTTTAAATGGTCGGTGCCACATTTACAGGCTTGGGCCAAACGGCGGTGTTGACTGAATGTGGTATCTGCAAACCCGATAGAGGCCCATCAGAACCGATACCCAAAACAGATATGGCGCCATCAAGCAGGGCCCGGTGGCGGAGAAGGCGGAGGCGAGGCTGTGGGGGCCAGGGCCAGGCGCTGCTGGAGGTGGTTGGCCACCCTCGCGGCTTTGGTGGACAGTCACTACGTGGTGATTGGGTTGGCCCTAGATGACGGAGATGGAGCAGATCGTGAACGGCCTGACAGCAGCAACTGCAGGTGCCGGCGGAGAACCAGCAGCTGCGGGACCGGATACAGGCCGCTGAGCAAGGTTCAACAGGGGGCGCAGGGAGCGCTGGGTCCATGGAGGTTTTTCGCAGCAGAAGTTGCCGCGGTCTGATCGACCAGAAAGGGCTTGGTAAGCCCCAGGTCCTGGGAGAAGACGCGGAGGAACTTTGGGTCTGGGCGGTGAAGCTCGAGGACTACGGCGCGAGCGGGATTGGAATGAGCAGCCGGGAGCGAGGTGGACGGTGCATTTGGTTTGGCAGCAGACCTCACAGAGCAATGGGATGAGGTCATGGAATTTGATCACCAGCTCTACACCGTCCTGAGGTCGACGATGGGGGGTGGCCTTCGACATCATCGGGAATGCGTTCATGGGGGCTGGGGTGGAAGCGTGGAGGCTCCACAAGAAGTACGACCCGGCAACCGGCGGGCGCAAGCGCATCATGCTCCAAGCTTTGACGAGCCCGGAGAGATCCAGCTATGAGACTCTGGGAGCTACAATAAGAAGAAGGACCAATTTGGGCCCCGCGAGGACTTGCCAGACTTGCTCGCTATGAATGCCTTAGAAAAAGTTGGTCTCGAAGGAGATGGAGATGCACCTGCTGCTGAACTTCTCCAGGCTCAAGAACTTTGAGGAGATGGAGGCAGAGGTGGTGACCTTCACGGAGGCGAAGACCGGGAGCAAGATGGCGGTGAGCAGCAACTTCAGCAAGAACACCGGTGGAGGCGAGGTTCCCATGGATGTGGGTTCGCTGGTGAAGGCGGTGTCGGGCAACCTTGCGTCCTTGGAGGGCAAGGGTGGCAAAGGAGGAGGAAAAGGTGGCGCCAGGTTTGAAGGGACGTGTGACAACTGCGGGAAGAAGGGCCACCGGCGGAAAGATTGCTGGGCGAAACCTACTACCGGAGGTGGAAAAGGTGGCGCGCCGGTAAAGGCTCTCCAAAGAAGTTTGAGGGCAGCTGCCACAATTGCGGGAAGCCTGGACACCGGAAGAAAGATTGCTGGGCTGCTGGAGGAGCATCGTCCCAAAGAGCTCGAAGGGCCGCTCCAAGGGCAAGGATGCTGGGGCACTCAAAAATGAGGAGGAACCTGAAGGAGAAGCCAATGCCCTAGAGCTGTGCGCCCTGACCGCGGAAGAAGAAGAAGGTTGGGTCGTTTGCGAGAAGGATGAGGGCCCAAGCGGCACCAGCCGGGAGTGGGACTTGGTTGAAGTGCAACTTCGATACTGGCGCTTCGATCACGGCCGTGCCCAAGAAATATCATGAGAACCTGCAGGAGCAGTCCAACCTGTTCAAGACGGCGAGCGGGGAGTTGATCCGGAACTATGGGCCGGTCGGAGTGGTTGGGTATGACGTTGGTGGTGTGAAGAGGAGCATCAACGGCAATGCCACGGACGTGCGCAAGGTGTTGGTGAGCGCGGGCAAGTTGCACAAGGGGCGCTGCGCATGGATGTTCAAGGGCGGCGGTATGATCATGCCCTTGGATCGCCCGGTGCGCAAGAGCGGACCTACGAGAGGGCGATGAGCAGGCACGATGACAAGGGCCTCATTCCGCTGCTGGAGGAAGGAGGCATCTACAACTTCTACCTGGAAATGGGTCCGGAGACGGACGAAGGCTGGAGGAGAAGGATCTGGTTTGGGTGCAACGCCCAAATCGCGTGCTGGGGCGGCCAGGAGTGCGGCGAAGGCACCATGGAGGGAGCCGCCTTGGAGGCAAGAGGAAGGAAGCGCTGTGTGGGCGCTGGAGGAGGAACTACCTGGTGGCCCGCCGAATTGGTAGAAGCCAGGGCCGTAAATTTAGGAGAGAACATGAGGCCAGCGGACATGCAATCTATAGGAGCTGGTGTGAGGAGTGCGTCAACGCCACGGGCATGGTGCAGCAGCGAGGAGGAAGGGTCAAAGCCGAACTTGGTGGCGGTAGATCGCCGCACAGAAATGGTGACGGCAGTGGCGCTGAAGCAGAAAGGCCTGGCGGACACCACGGGCCAGAAGACGGTCGCGCGGTTTCTGCAGACCTCGGGGTACCCGCAGGTGGTGATGAAGAGCGATGGAGAGAGGTCTATCGTCAAGATGAAGATGGAGGCGGCAAAGAAGGCAAGAGGAGTCCGGAAGGCAATTCCGGAGAAGCCGGCAGGGAAAGGCCGGAGAGGAGACCTTTCGCGGCTGGTGGCGGGCCGGCACCTAGGCACGCGCAACAGGTTCGGTTCGGTGCTGGTCATGACCGCGAACGGAGTGGTTGTCGGGACAGGACAAGGAGACAAGTGGTTCGCAGCCTCCTTCCTTGCTCCGCCTTCACCTCCCTGTCTCTTGGGAGACTCACCTCCACCGGGCCCTCTGCTTGAGCTCGATGGCTCTTCTGCCGTTGCTCCTGCTGCGGCATCTCCTCGGCTCTCATCGATCTCCACCTTGGCAGCTCACTTCCCAGCCCTCTGCCTTCTTCTTGAAGATCCGCGGCCGGCGCTCCTCGTTGTGCTTGCCCCGCACCAATGAGACGCAACCTTCAGAACGCGGGGTCTTGCCACACTTCTCCACCATGGCCTTCCGCACAGTCCATGCCTTGCCATGTCCTCCGTCCGCCTCTCGGTCACCTGCGGACCTTGTGTCTGCTGTGGCTGCTGCTGCTGCTGCTGCTGCTGCTGCTGCTGCTGCTGCTGCTGCTTGACCTCATTGAGGTGTTCAGCCCGAAAAGGCTGACAGAGGAGTTGTTTGGCTTCCGGGATGGAGCTGCGGTGGACCTGGACGAGATGAAGCCGGTGAAAGGTGGGACCTGGACCGGGAGGAAGACTATGGGCTCTTGCGTAAGATGCTCCAGCGTGAGGAGCCTTGGCTGGTTACGCACCGTGCGCAACGTTCAGCCCGCTGAGGAACATCAGCAATCCAAAGCGGGACCCAGAGTTGGCGCGGGAGGAGGAGCTCGGGAAGGAGCGTGTGAGAAAGGCGGTGAGCTGCTGCAAGCAGCAGGCAGACCAAGGTGGGGCGTATTTGCATGAGCGCCCAAAGAGGTCAACGAGCTGGGACATGCCGGAGGTCCAGGCGATGTTGGAAAGGCCAGACACATGGCTGGTTACACTCCCGATGTGTCGGTTTGGCATTAAGATGGAGAACCCGGACGGCGAGTTGCTGCACGTCCGGAAGGAGACGAAGTGGATGACCAACTCGGAGTGCATTGCGAAGGAGTTGGCGGGCCAGTGTGAGAACTTGCTGGCCGGTGGAGAGGCGCATCGCCACACGCACCTCATAGGGAAGAACCGCGCAAAGATGGCGCAGGTGTACCCAAACAGCCAATCCTGAGGCGCTTGGCTGAGTTTTGGACGGGGGCGATCAAGCCCTTGGCCTTGAAGGTCGACAGCAGCGCGGCAAAGGCGATGCCTGGGCGCCGTGGAGTTGGGCGCACGACGCACGTGCAGGCCAGATACCTCTGGCTCCAGATGAGGGTCTGTGAGAGGCTGCTGGTGGTGGACAAGGTGAAGGGCACGATCAACGACGCGCCTTATCACCAAAGTACAGCACGGAGTGACTCTCCGGGATCACATGGCTCGGCTTGGATATGCCAAGGCTGAGTGGCTCACGTTTTGAGGGTGATGTCGCAAGAGGTGGCTCCCCTTTTGGCATCCAGGGGTTCAGATTTGTGGCGGATTCCAAAGCCATCTGGCTGGAAAACAGTGCGCCGCTATAAGCCATGTCTGCACAATCTGAACAACTCATCAGGGATTATCAGCTGACGCAGCCCAATATGCAAAACAATGAAAACCATCCATACTCTCAGACGAGGGCAACACTTCCCAAGGTCTGAGTTCCGTTTTATCAAAACAAAACGAGACACGGAGTGTAATGGGAACAGGATCATTTTCAGAAAGTTTGAACCGCCCCCCTGTGTTGGTTTGGGCAAACTATGTTGAGCTCATGCGGGGGGGTGGGGGTCTTCGCCTTTTTCAGGTCTGTGAAATTTAGCAATTTGGAGAGGCGGGTGTTAGGACTTTGGGCCAAATATCTGGATGGTTGCTTTGAGGCGTGTTGTTTGGAAGAGTTCGGTCGCCGTGTCCTGCAGCCAAGGAGTGATGGCGATGCAGAGGTAAGTGCAAAGAGCGGGGAATGGATATCCACTCTTGTGGATGCAGGAAGCAGTCATTCTTTTTCAAATCGCAAGAAGGCTATGAAATTAGACAATGGGAAAGTATCCCTTGAATGGTTGCCGGACAAAAATCCCCAAGTTAATTCCTTTCCGCCTTGCCCTTTTGCCCTTCTGCCCTTTTGTTCGTTTGGGGTCCTGTAGGGCCAGCGCAAAGAAGCTGCGTCGGGCTGATGAGCTGACGTCCCTCAAGCCGTACTTAAGCTCAACTATCCTGGTGAGTTGGCAAGATTGAAGCGTCTTATTGGGGTGTCTTCATAATTCTAGTCGAATTCCCCAAAAGTTCGATGCCTTGGCCAGGAAACTCAGCAAGTTCAAAGTCTACGGCGGCCAGGCCTCGTGGGAAGTCGTGTTTCACCTTTGCAACTCAGTTCTTTGGCACCACTGAAGCTGCGGCGCTTAGGGCTGGGCGGAGCTAGTGGTTGCACGGGCGCTTGCTATCCAACCGTGCACGTCCGTGCACATCCGTGAAATGGTTCGATCGAGCCCGTGGGCGGCGCCCTCGGACCTCTTGGCCCGAGAGCCTCGAGTTGTTTGCATCTCGGCATCTCGGCTCAAGTGTAAGAACACCTTGCGAGGGGCTGGGGCACCTTGGCTTGAGAAAGCCAAGTTGTAAGCTGACCCGTTGATGAATCTTTGATTGGGAGGTACACCCAGCTTAGAGCGCTCGCGCCAAATTGACACCACAATGTTTGGTTTTGATAGAATTCCCATGTCACAAGCACACTGCTAAAAAACTGACCCAGATTCTGGGTGGGCATCTTCCATGGGCGTTGAGATCGAAACGGGGGTTGACGTTGGGGAAATCGATCAGGTGGGTCTTGACAACTTTCTGCAAGTTTGTTCCCACTGACCGGGGAAGTGAGGCACATTCCCGCGCGTGTTTTGTTCCTGGAGGAGCGAAACCATGGTTACTTACAGTAAATTAGAGGGTTGTCGTGCTTCCTTTCTTGCAAAATTTAGGGCGCCCAACCGTATTCCGCCCCATTTTCCATTGGGTTTGGGGATCTTGAGGTCGAGGAACCGATGGCCATTGGACTTGTGCATCTCTTTGAGGCGTGGTTGGCCAGGGATTTGGTTGAATCCTAGGGCCACCCATGGTTGGTTGGTGGTTTGCCGCATCCCCAGCATCACTTGGCCCCGGGTGCTTATTGGCTCTGACGAGGGCGGGTCTTGCGTGGTTTGGGGTTGATTTGGCGAAGCGAAGGGCTGACATCCGTTAGGTTTGACTTTGGGTGGATTTGGGGTTGGTGCTGATTCGTGTTGTGTGTGCTGCTGGTTACGCGGCGCCTTCAGGGTTGCTTTAGGGACGTTGTTACGGAGCGTTGCCCCAAACCACCAAAAACTAGCCCGCAACTCACGCAACAAAGCGACCCTAAAGGCACCGCTTAACCAGTAGCACGCCCAGCGCAAATCAGCTCTAAACCAACCCCAAATCCACCCAAAGTCAACCCTAAACCCAGCAATATGTTTGCCCTTCGCTGAGCCTAAATCCAAAACCGCCAAGTGAGGCTGGTGTTGCTGGGGATGTTGCCAGCACTGCGGAACTTGGAGCCATCCCTCTACGCACAAAGCGCGGTTGTGAATCATAGAGCCAGCCAGTAACTTGCTGACCGTGACCTAAGAGGTTAGGCAAGCTCTGCCAATCTCAAGCAGTTTGTCCATGAATCAGGCTGGCCTACTGCTCATGAACGCAGCGGCCATCCTGAATGAGAAGAGATTTTTGTCAGAGCCTTAATTGTTTTGCCTGAGATCTGTTAGGTCTCTTTTTCTGAAGCAAACCGCAAGTTAAGAAGTTGCCTCAGGCGCAAGTATGGCCTTGACAGCGCCATCGTGGGCGAGAATCTGGGACCCAAGAACCAGGCGGGGTTCATGTTTTTGCTGCGCCCAAGAACGTTCCCAAGGAATGGTTTTCCAAAAGCTTGTCAGTTCCGGTCAGACTTCCAGCAAGTGAGCCATGGCGCTCGCCTTCACTGATTTCTGCCTTGAGGTTGCGAGCTTTCTGCACGCCATGCGCACCTTCATGAGATACCCTCTCGTCGCCATGAACGTCCTGGCCGGGTTTGAGATGGCTGTGTTTCTAGATGAGCTATGGATCAGTTTCCTGGTGGATTCCCTCTCACCGCCCCAAAAGGAGTACCGCGACAAAAATACCCGCAGGGGCAAAAGGGATCTGGGAAGCTAGGGGCATATTCAAAGCATCTTCAGCTTCACCGGCCGCAGGTCATCATCTACGAGATGATACTTGGGTCCTTGGCTCAGAGTTCGTTATTCGCTCCAGCGAAAAATCAAGCGGACGCCATGTCAAGACAGTCGCCAGACTAGCACATGTTGGGCGCGCCCCCCTCCAGTCGGCGCCTCTTTCCACACCAGGTGACGGGCCCTGTCGGGCCGGCAAAGTTTCCATACGCCGCGCAAAGGCTGGTGGCCGTTCAAAAGATTGCCTGATGCTGCGCATGCTTTGAGGTGAGTCGCGCGCAAGCACCAACACTCGAATGTGGGCCGTTCTGGTTCAAAGAACAACGATGAGCTTAGGGAGCATCAAACTTGCGCCAACTGTTTCCTTGTTCGCCCTCAGCGTTTTGAACCGGCATGGGTTTGTCCCCTGGAAAAGGTTTCCTACTCCCCAATTTCTTGGCAGATTGCATGGCTTTGCTCACCAAAGGACCTGAATGCCTTTCCCATTAGTGCCAACAAACTAATTCGGTTCACGGAATGTATCCCCCAACAATCCGGGCACGGATTGCTTTTTGTAACTCCAAAATGGGAAAGAGGGACGGGATTGTGAGCCGTTGCCATTTCAAGCTGGGGGCCGAAGGCCGAATCACGCACGTGGCACGAGGTCTGAAGAGGTCTGACATGTTTCCAACAATCCTCACAGTGCCTGAACCGTTGAACCAAGCAAATCTTCCGCTATGCGGGTTCCTTTTTAGGTGCGTGCTATTGTTGAGCCTTTTCTGGTTTAGGCAGTACCCGCGGATGGGCGAAAACCTTGGACGAAAGTACAAATTGAACCTGGGTTGAACCTCACTTTTGGAAAAGGCCAAACTAAAGTGAATATCTCTGGTGTGATGTTCTCGAATCTTCGATCTTCACCCAGGCCTGCAGATCACGAAAGTCCACAATTGAATACGATTCAACCACAAAGCATGGGTCGGTGGTGGCCTGAGTGACAAGGCTACGTGAGGGCTCTTGCGACCCTCTTTTGGATTTTCGCCCCGATGCCACCTTGCCACAGCCGGGTTGTGGCTCCAGCGTGTAAGCATTGCGCCGCAAACCTCAAGATCGCAGGCGCGGTAGGTGACTTACAAGGGAGGCGGTGTGTTTCCCCTTTTCGGTTCCTAGCGTCTCTTTTTGAAACATAAGGTTCCTGTCTTGTGCCTCGGAAATGCCTTCCGTTGTGTTGCGCATGGGCCAGGCCATGGTGAAGGTGACCGTCGGAAAGGCCGAGGACCCCTGGTGTGAGATTGACCTCACCGAGGAGGACGTTGAGGACGGGTGCAAGTGCAACCTGCCCCAAGACTGGAAAAGGCGCTGCGCACTGTTCCTCGTGAGTGCGCAGTTTGCTTAAAGCGATCAAGTAGTCATGAGAATTGTGAGAGTTCAGACGTGGGCCCATTTCCCACAACCGTACATTGCTGTTTTTGAAGCAATCCCTATTTGCATGATTCCCGAATAAAAGGCTATTCCAAACATGAAGTAGTCCAGGGCCCTCCGAGGTTGGCTCTTGCCAGCTTCCTGCAGCTGCCTGTCCATGGCTCATCGATTCGCGTGTTTTGGTGGCGCGCAGAATCTGCATGGTTGGTCAAGTGACGCCAATGAGGTGGCATGCGTTCAGATGGACTTCCGGCTACGATGAAATCCCTGCCTTGCCACTGAAGGTTGCGAGTTCTGATGAACCGCTACAATCGGTAACGCAGACTGATGATGCTCCAACCCTTAGCTCCACGGGTCCAACTTCCGCCTCCTTAGGAGAAGTGAACATAGCGTGCTGAAGGGTACAGGGCCATCGCCCTGTGTGTTCGACGCCAAGTTGGTCCCGCAGAAAGGAGGGCAGCCTTTTCAGTTCATGGACGCGTAGTCCAATTCAACAGGGATAGGCTGTATGTAGGCAGGCCCCGGCCAACCCAGATATTGGCAGACACCATGACACTTGGGGCCCCTCAAAAAGGTCGGCCCTCATGTTACCAGAAAGGGTTCACAGTTGTTGACACAAAAGTTGGTGGGTGGCGCAGTATGGTAGCTTATAAAGCGGCCACTTTACGTTTTGTTAGTGGTTCTGCGAAAATGCTGTGCCAGTGGATGGTTCCATCAGAGCTGCCCGCGCGCCTCGCCGACAGCGGCGCGCAGTCGTTAGGTCGCAAGCACCGCGCGCATCAAGATAGGAAATTACTTGATTTCCTTTCGGTAAAAAATGCTGCCGCGTTTGAGGCGCTCCGCCAGATCGCTGCGCAACATGCGCAAGCGGAGAGTTGAGAGGAACTCCGCTCCGCACAGAATCATTTGCGTGTTCACTTTAGCCAAGCGCGGCACGCTTCTCAAGGGGCTCTAAGCCAGACGCAGCCGCGAGTGTGAGGAGGACTAGGCTCAAGCCGCTCGCAAGGCGGAGCTCGCGAGGCAAAGGGAGAAGCTGCAAATGGCCTTCAATGAAACTGCAGCGGATGTTCAACTGTACCTCAAGGCAAGCCGACAAGCGTTACATTGATGCCTCCAACGTTGAAGCAAGCGTGCCAAGGCTATCAAGTTGTTGAGAGAATGGCCGTGCAAGGCGGGCCAGAATATTGTTGGCAAAGGCGATGATTTGCCTGAGCTGATGACTGAAAGAGTGAGACAGGCGCGGCGCTGATTCAGATTTTGCCCCATGCCCGCCGACGCGCCTCTCAAGCCTGACGCGTGTGGCTTGCGAGGGCCTGCTGGTGCGCCCAATCGCAACGATCAGCCCAGCCTTATGGGGTCCTTTAACAACAAGTTCTTTAGGCAGCGCGCGAACGTGTGTTCCTCCGCTTTTCCGCGTGAGGTCGTTTTCTTTGCCAGACCTCGTCGTCAGCATTGTCTCTGGGGCATTTCTTGGCGCAGCCGGCTTCACATGAATGGCCACCTTTGCCTTGCCGGCCGGAAGCCCAGCGGCCTGTCGATGTGCTTCACTGCTACGGAAAGCGCTAAAGAGACATGGCTGCGCTAGCTCACTCAACGACGCGTGTCCTCGGGTTTGCGCGAACCTTGCGGTCGTCGTGCGTGGGCGTGTAGCGCTCAGGCGCGCTCAGGCGCTCGTGGCGTGACAGCGAACCAAACCCTGGGGTCGCGCAATAAGTGTTGGATGGTTGGGTGGGTGGTGGGCGGGCGGGTGGGTGTTTGGATGGATGGATGGATGGATGGATGGATGGATGCATGGATACGCGTGGATACGCGTGGATACGCGTGGATCGTGGTTGCGTGGATGGAGCGTGCGTGCAGCATCATTTGCAGTGTTTTGATCATTCGCCAATGGCCACGCAGCGGTGATGGTGCGCCACCTGACATGCAGGCGATGCGAGGTTTCGGCGCAACCGTGAGTCGCAAGGCAAAGCCCAGGCGCGCGCCCCTTGGGGCGACAAAGTGCGGCGAGGCTGGACTTTAGGGCTGCCGCCCTGGACTCTGGATCCTGCCGCGCACCCAAGCCCGCCAAAAGCTGCAAGAGACTGCCTGCAGCATCTTTCCAAGGCGAAGCGCTTTCGAAGCAACATATCTTGTGTGGAAGTGTGGGAGCCCGCGTGTTTTTTTTTAATGTGTGGCAGCGCCCGTGTTGTGGGACGCTTTGCTTGGCTTTTCTGAGACGTGGCAGCGCCCATCTTCTGGGAAGCGCCTTTCGGTTCAAGACATGTTTTGTGTTTGAGAAGCCTGGCAGCAGCCAGGCTATGTGAAACGCGATTCAGTTTAACACATGTTTCCTGTTGTTTGTACCGTGGCAGCGCCGATCATTTGGGAAGTGCCTTTCGGTTCCACATACGCACCTACAAGCTCAACGCGTGTTTTCTTGGAACGCGTGTTGCTGTTTGAAACATCGTAGCCCGTCCTTTTGCAAGCGCTCTTCTATTTCAGACATCATGGTTTCCGCTTTTTTGAAGGGAGCTCCAGCAATACTAAACAGGCACACCGGCCCTCAACATGTCACTCCCTGCCCCCTTTACTAGTTCGCCCACCGCAAAAACATGTTGGGGCTTGTAAGGCGCCAACTTTGCGCTCGAAAGCTGAAAGGCGAAAGCGCGCAGAAAGACATGTTTGGCGTTCTCGAAGTTCATAATTGCAAAACTTTGGCCCAACCCCGTCAATGCTGCATGTACTTGTTCATGTGTGTTTTTATCCATGATGATCTTTTCGTGCGACATTCTGGTGCTCGATGCTTAGCGGGGTGCAGGGGTGCATTCACATCCTCGAACATAGTGTTCGGGGTGTGTCTGATTTGTTGCCTCTTTGCCGCCATGGCTATTTGCATTGCCAAGCAAAACAAACGCAAATCTGACATGATGAGCGCTGAAATATCTTTGGCGGCTCCGCCTGTTTTACAGGCATCAGCAAAATTTGCTGCGGGGCACTCAAGGGGCAGCCAGCACCAACGCATGCAACCGAGCATGGAGCCTCTGCCTGCACCAGTGCGAGCTACAAGGGGCAGATTTCACCCAGTTCCTTCTGGCGATTTCGTCTTGTCAGCTCCGCTCAGACATCCGGCGCCAAGAAGTTTGCAGCGCGCTGCTGATGCTGCGGTTTCCACTGAAAAGAGCTGGTTGGCTGACTACAAAGCAGATTTGTGTGATATTCTTCCTGCGCCAAGACATGCAATATGCGACGGGTATGTGAAGACAAGTGAGCTTGGCAGCAAGCCTAAGATTCGTGGCAGCGCTGACACTTTTACTACCATGGCTTCAAAGCACGCGGCAAACAAGCGTAAGGCCAGACTCTTATGGGATCAAGTGTTGCTTTGTGTCAACCACATCAGCGACCATGGTGTTTTGCGTGCTTCGCACACGCAGAGAATTCTGAGCCGCTTCTCTGACAACACAATTGTGGCTTATTCTTGCAAGGCATTGAGTTTGTTTCAGCACCTGCAGGATTTGAAGATCGAATTGAAAAGTTTCAGTGTGGTGCAGTTGGCTGATGCTTTGGAATCCTTGCTGGACAGTGAGGATATCATGCTTTCCCCAATTGGTGCATTGAAGGCGTTGCGCTGGGTTGAAAAAACGGCATCAATTTCATGCTGGCCAGACTTGTATGATTCCTTGTTGAGTAGTTTCTTGATCCCTCCTGATTTCAGGGAGCGTAGGGAAAGCCTCCCACTGCCTTTGTTTCTATTATGCCAATGGGAGCTGGACATCCTTTTTCGTCGGCGCCCAGATTCAGAGCTTGCCTTTCTGGGCGCTTGCCTCATGTGTGTGTATTCAAGTCTGCGTTTCAGTGATGCTCAGCATGTACGATGGGATTCTGTTTGCCTCGAGACTGATAACATCAGGGCCGTGTCCTACCAAACGAAGACAAGTCGTAAAGGCATGCCATTCGGATGCTTTTCTTTTGGGCTAATGGGTTGTCCTAAGTGCAATTGGATGGAAGTATGGCTTTCAATTCTGGAAGCTTATTGGAGATCGTCACGGTCTCATTTCGGAAATGACATAATCCCGGATTACTTTTTCTTCGAGCTCTCGGAAGGTGCCATTTCTGAACCCATGACTTATGGCCGAGCGCTCAGCTGGTTCCGGTATTTCATTGCGGACACTGGCGGAGGAGCAATTCACCCTGCAGTCCGCAAGCAGTACACGTTGCATAGTATGAAGAGCACCATTTTGAGCTGGAGCCATCAGCTAAATCTGCCCCCCGAGGGCAGGTTAGTCCAGGGACACCATAAGTCCCCTCAACTGGCTAGCTGCAGATTGTATTCGAGAGATGATGTGCACGGCAGCTTGATGCTACAACGTTTTATTTGCAGTTCGGTCCAAAAGGGGTGGCGACCGGCCACTCCTTTACACCGAGGAGGGCAAGCTCCACTGTCGGACCCAGCAGTTGATTTGCAGCTCCCCAGTTTGTTGGCTGATTTCAATGGCTCTCTTGAATTGTTTCATCGTGTGCCGCCCAGCCACGTGGCGCCTGACATGCAGAATTTCGCACGCGATCTGGCAGATTTCCAATTACGGCCGGGTAACGCGCACAGTGAAGAACCTTCTGTCTTCAACAGTGAGCAGCAGCACAGTGAAGAAGCGTCTTGCTTCAACCGTGAGCAACAGGTTGAACCCACGCTTGGCACAACATGCGTTTGCCCGAACGAGGAGCCGCAGCCTATTGACTCTGCCATTGAAGACGTAAGTGACGAATGTCTTTTCCTGTGCTCGGCGCGAACCGTGCACATTGCAGTGCGAACCGAATCGAGTTGGTTTCGCTGTGCTGACGGTTTCTTTTGGAAATCGGCGTGCCACTGCAATTTTACTGCAGATAAGACTGTTCTGACTCAGGAATTCCCTGACAACAAAG